TGGAGGAGTTAACATAACCGACGGTTTACTAGCCTAACTCCAATGTTTTGGCTTAGAAAGAAGTATCTTGGCTTGTTCAGAAATCCGTCTGTGCCTTACCTCTGTTAGTTCAGTGTTGCTGTACGGCACGGATGCAGATGTTCTAACGAAAGAGCAAGAGCGGCAGTTAAACTGCGGTTAATTGCGTTGGCTTCCACACATAATCGGGGTTAACGGCAGGACCTGACTCTGTCCTGTTCGAAGCACAGGTGACCACAGTGGAAGTAGAAATTACGAAATGAAATTTAAACAAACTGATTGAAAATAAATCGTTTGCTCCACTTCCTAGCCTCTCATTCAGGACGCCTGCATGCAGCATGGAGAAACAAGGTAGAGACGGATCTGCTTCTGCTGAAGTATGCATCTTTAACGCTGCAGTAACCGATGTCCTACAGCAAAGGTGATGAAAAGCTCTGAATGCACTGAATACCGTCAACAGAGATGTTCTTCTTATGCCAAAAGCTTAAAGTAATGATCTCAGCATATGCATTAGGCGACCAATATCTCAAAGAAGCCTCAGAATAGATCCCAGCAGTGATCAAATCTAAAGATTTCACCCTCTCGAGTGCAGTAACAGTTCGGTTGAAGGAAAAATTAAATGGACCTTCGCCCAAAAAGGCCGCCCGTTGATGCATGGAAACCAGAACAACAACGCGTGATCAGTCAGTAAAATTTATGTAAGTGAACCTTGGGGTAGACGATAAGTTTCCAAAATCTTAAATATAACAATAAACAAGTGCTTAGCAATAAAACGAGTCGTGAGGGTGGATGCATTTAGGGCTGATCTGAGTCTGGTACAAAATGACCGTTCCTCTTTCTTGGGACGTTGAACAGCGAACGGAACAGCGTGTTTTCTTCATTCCTTCCCCTGCGAAGAACGTACACAAATCTTGTGCTTTGCCGCTTCAAATCGCTGTGGGAAACATTGATGCAGTGGGTAAGTTGGGTCGGTTAGAGAAGAACTTCCCAGAGCAATTATTGCGCTTATCAGACATCTGGTTAGGATGACCCAAACTCGTCATCTTCTCTGGTGCAGAATCGGGAAATTAATTTCCGAATGCTCCGGATACGAGCCAGTTGCTTCCTATGGAGACTGCAAAATTAGGCTGATGCAGCATAAAGAAATAATAGTAGAATGCAGCATTCGGTGAAATCTTTCAGTACTTCTGAAATTCACAGTTCTTTACTTGCACAATATTAAAGTAGGTCGCTGCTATTTGCCAACCGTTGCATTCACCTGTTGTTCCCAACCAAGGCTCTCACCCACGGATTTTTTTAAGCAAGCTGTTGCGGAACTGTTAAAGCAAATTTCGTAAGGCTCTGCTTACACGTTTTGGACAATTAAAATACCAGTCCACAGATTTCTTTGAATTCGATACGATGGTAGTGTCGCGGCAAGGTCAGGTGCGCTAAATGCATCTACAAGTTACCTATCGTCTGACAACCCTCGAACATGAGGATTAGCTGCGTAATAACCGGAGAGTCTGAAGAATAAACAGTCGTGGACAGTGTGAGGATATTGCTACGAGGGTGCGGCGAACTATTTTCTAGTAAAGGTAGCTCCAGAGAATACTGCGAGGCCCGATGAGAGTACGGCGGCGTGGCAAGTACATGCCGCCATCAGATAAGCATGTTGTCAAATGCCAACCCGAAGATCTATGGTCGGTTCCAGGCCCGGCTGAGAAAGACAGGTTGGCGTCAGACAGATAGCCGGCCGTAAAAACCGACTCTAAATCCAAACATGATGAATCAACTTACCTCTAGAAAGAATCCTTGAACGTTCCCCACAGACGACGCGCAACAGCAAATCCGGACAGCTATGAAAAATGAGCAAGGGAACCAGTTCCAGTTCTTGCGACGACGATAACCGCAAAGGGAGAGATTGACATGCCGAAAACGAAGTGAGAAAATGCAAATAGCCACTTGGAGCAATAAAAGTAGAGGGCATGGAGCTGGCGGAAGTTCTTCAGAGAAGAAAACTTCAGATCGCTTGTATTTAGGAGATGAAATGAAAAAGTGAGAAGTCGAAAGAGATTTGGCTATGCCTTAAACTTATTTACTGAGGAACATCAAACAGAACAAACCGAGTTGGAGTGGTTTTGAATGAAGCGACCAAAAACAGGGTTTTCGAAGTCAACCGAATTAGCAACAGAGTCATTAGCGTTTAGCTGACTATGAAAATTAATATCATGAGTGCCTGCGCCCCTCGGGCAAACCATCGAAGCTGAAAAGTCGACATAATGGAAAAGCTTAGACATTGCACTGTAAAGCATACCTCGAAGCGAAAAAATGTTAATTGGGAATAACCACAACGATCACGTCGGGAAACATCGAAGGGGTTACGACAGGATCCATGGCAGACATGGATATGGTACGTTAGATAAGCAAGGAAAGAACATCTTGCAGATGGCAGTTGCATATATCTGGCACTAATAAACACGTTCTTCCACGAAAGAGAAAATACCTGCTACCGTACAAGACTGGTCAGAGAAAAGTCAGCTCGACTCTTTCTTGCTCCGAAGGGACGGACTTGAGAACGTCAGAGATTGCAAGACTATCCCGCTGGAAACTGTCACAGTCCAACACCAGCTACTGGTCCTAGACCTCTGCCTGGAACAGATCATTCACACGTAGACAGATACAGTGCTGGATGGTCGAAGGGAAGCTGAAAGAAGCATTCAAGATGGAAATTACGAGAAAAATGATGAAGGAAGACTGCAATAGAAAAGTGGATGAAATATGGGAGCGGGTATCCACCACAATCATAGGAAATGCCAGAGGTGTAGTCGGAAAAACAAAAAGCGCAACACGAAGAAAGAAATGTGGTGGTGAAATGAGGGCGTGCGATAGAAGAATGAGCTTTTCAAGAAATGGCAATTATCAAACAGGACAGAGTAAAGTATTCTAGATCAAAAATGGAGTCAAAGAAAGTCTACAGCGTGCAAGAGCTTATAGGAAAACCTGTCAGTAATGGGAAGGGGAGAAAGACATCTGTTGCATGGCAAAAGACAGAGAAGAAAACACGAGACATCGGGAATGTTAAGTGCATGAATGACAAAAGCGGAATGGTGCTGACCGACGAGAAAGATATTCGAAACCGATGGCGAAGGCAGTTCCAAACGCTACTAAACTAAGAACACCCTAGAGAAGTCGCCGAAAAAAACCCATGAAACCAGCGCTTAGTCGAAAAGGTCTGATTAAGTGGAGCAAACGTGGAGCCGAATGAAAAATCGAAAGTCCCTTGGCCCGGACAGTGTTTTCGTTGAAGCATTGAAAGCATTTTTGCAAGACGGTATGGTTTGGCCCTGCGCTGTTCAACAGAATTGTGGAATATGAGAAAATGTCAGAATCATGAAGGCAGAGTATCTTGATGCCAATGTACAAAGTGAAAGGGGTCATGCTAGCCTGTGAAAACTACCAGGGAATTAAACTGCTTAGTCACACTATGAAGAAATATGAGAGGGTGCTGGACAAAAAAGTGAGGAAGGAGGTCGACATCATCACGAACTACTTTGGCTTTATGTCAAGCAGGTCAACCACGAATGCTATCTTCGTTTTAAGATCAGTCCTCGAAACATACAGAGAGGGCTTACAAGACATTCACATAGTGTTCTTAGATCTGGAGAAAGTTTTTGACCGAATTGCGAAGCAAGCAATCTGGTGGAGCATGAGAAAGAAGCTTGTGCCAGAAAAGTATGTCAGGCTTATCAAAGACATGTGCGATATAATGACAGCGATAATTCGAAGAACATGCAGTGAAACGCGTGCAGGTAGGAGTCCACCAAGGATCTGCACTGAGCCCATTTCTGTTCTCGGTGCCGACAGACGCGTTAACTTTGAATCTGCAGGAAGCACCACCCCTATATTACATGCTATGCAGATGACATTGTGCTGTGCAGCAAAAGTGGAGATGCACTAGTAACAAAAGCCGAGGCCTGGAGAACAGCCGCGAGAAGAACGGCCCTCGACTTAGCAAAGGCAGTCAGAATATTTGGCAGGCTATTTCAGTGAGTAAAATAGATTGAAAGCCCTCAAATCAGTGAAAGTAGCAGGCAGCTTCCTGCCTCAAGCCCAAGAATTAAACTATATTAGCACCATCGCGCAAGATAATGTAGAAATCAACACAGAGATTAGAAATCGGTCGGTAAAAGCTTGGTTCAAATGGTGAGAAGTGAGCAGAATACTGTGCGAAAAGACGTTGCGTATCAAATTTACAGGGAAAGAGTGCTAGATCAATATTAAGATCAGTGCTTATGTTGGCTACCCTGAAGAGATACGAGTAACAGCTGAACTCGGCAGAAACGCGAATGCTCAGATGGACGTGTGATGTCAGCAGAGAAGATTATACCAGAAGCATCTTCGTAAGAGGCACTCTAACCGTAGCAACAATTTCAAAAATGCTTCTTCAAAGCAGGCTCCGATGGTTTAGTCACCTGGAAAAAAACCCATCGAGTACGCTGAAAATGTGGCCAAAGTCCTGATATTGCCAGGGAAGAAAAGAAGGTGGAGATCGAAGAAAAGGTGGTGCGATGTCGTCAAAAACGATCTGAAACTGCGAGGAGTCTCTGAAGATCTAAAGAACGACACAAAAAAGTAGAGGATTTGAACTCGATTAGCGGACCCTTGTTAAAAGGAACATGCTAAGAAAAGGAAGAAAGATTTTTTGGATTATGCATGCGTCCGGCTTGCCGCTCATCCAGTACCTCTACCTCTTGAATGAAGAGGAAAAGTGCAATAATTCAAATCTAGACGGCACCGAAGCAAATTGAACAGTATCG